CTGTCGAGCGTTGCTCGCAGACCCTCTCTCTCTCTCTCCTCTTTTTTCTTTCGCTCACTTTCCCTTCCACACCATCGCCCACTCTCCTCTAGCGCTCGCGCCCATCCTCCCTCCTTGCACACCTACCTACTCTCCTCACCCTTTCTCTCTCTTCTCCCTCCCCTCCCTCACTGCCCTCTCTCGTCTTCTCTCTTCTCTCTCTCTCTCTCTCTCTCTCTCTCTCTCTCTCTCTCTCTCTCTCTCTCTCGCTCTCTTCTCATCTGTTTGTTGACCTTTCGTAGTATACTACCAAAAATATTGAAATAGATAATAAATGTTGAATACTCACAGGCTGTGGTGAGAGGAAGTTCTCTTCCAGTTCTTTCTCCATCTTCCCAAGAGAAGCCTTCATCTCTGCTGGGATTGCCTGAAGGGGAAAATATTAATTGTTAGCACAATGGTTCCCGCGTAATTTTGAGTGATAGAAAGGAAAATGAGTAAATGAGAGAGAGAGAGAGAGAGAGAGAGAGAGAGAGAGAGAGAGAGAGAGAGAGAGAGAGAGAGAGAGAGAGAGAGAGAGAGAGAGAGAAGGAGAGATAGATAGAGAGAGAGAGAGAAAGAGAAACAGAGAAAAGGAGGTGAGTGAGTGAGTGATTGAGTGAGTGATTGATTGATTGATTGATTGATTGATTGATTGATTGATTGATTGATTGATTGATTGATTGATTGATTGATTGATTGATTGATTGATTGATTGAGTGAGTGAGTGAGTGAGTGAGTGAGTGAGTGAGTGAGTGAGTGAGTGAGTGAGTGAGTGAGTGAGTGAGTGAGTGAGTGAGTGAGTGAGTGAGTGAGTGAGTGAGTGAGTGTAAATGAATGAATGAATGAATATGTAAATGAATTACTGAATGAGAGAATCAGTAAACGAATAACTGAATAGGTAAATAAGTAACTGAAATTAAGAATGAATGAATAAGTTAATGAATAAGTGAAAAAGTAATTGAATTAATGTTAGGATGCATGAGTGATTAAGTCAGTTAATGAGGTTAAAGAATGCATCATGAGTGAGTTAGTGGGAAAATATAATAAATTCCTTACCACAAAACTAGTTGGGCTCTCCGCGTGTACCACGATCACCTCACTGAATTCAAGAGGTTTGAATTCCCAGAACTTCGGCATTGGCGGCATTCTAGAGACAGTTACGATGGGCAATGGAGCAAAGAACTGTCTATCCTGTAGTTGAGTAGACTTTTCCTGTCTTCCCACATGGCCCAAAGCTGTGCTGTTAGAGTCTGGGTGCAGAGAAGGAGGGGAGGATGTCTTGGGAATTCGGGAAGTATTGGAACAGCTCAGCGGGGGACTCGACCTGTTGCTGACTTGTTGACTAACGCTCTTGAAACCGGGAGCGGCGGAAACCTGAGCTTGTCTAAGGTTTGGGTTGACCCATGAGTATACGCTACGGGGTCGTGGGTGTCTCGGATGTCCCGCACCACCTCTGACAACACCAGAAGTGGAGGAGCCCTGGTAATGTTTCTGTCTGAGCTCTGGGTTTATCCAGGTGTATACGCTGCGAGGTCGTGGTGTCATGCGTGTTACAGACTGTTGTGACGAGGGTCTTGTTGAAGACCCTGCAGGCACCGATGGACGTGACAAGGTTTTATCTGAGGGTTTGGATTCTCCAGCACTAGCAGGCTCTCTCGCATGCTCGGTGATACCGGTGAGTATGTCAGTCTTTGTGTTGCCCGACAGGGGCATCGGGGGCAAGGAGGAAGAGCTTCTGACGACTGAAGACATCTTCAGGCTTGATTTTCTTGAGCCAGAAGATGGACTGATGGACGCCTGAGTCCCTCTAGTTTCCTTCTTCGCTGAAAGTATCTCAGCAAACGAAGACGGGTCAACTGATGAAGATGGCTTAGTAGATGAGAATGTCTCCACTAACGAGGACTGATCAACTGACGACGATGTCGCAACTAACAAAGATGACTTAGCTGATGACGACAGCTCCGATGAGGATGACGTGTCTTCGGTCTGCACCAGGGACAGCAGGCCCGACTGAGCCAACCAGGCGGGGGTGAAGTTTGCCACAGGCTGGACATTAGACATGCCTTCAAAGATAGACGTCTTTTCCCCTTTCTTAGAACCTGGAATATGCAGGAAATGAAAGGTTGTATTTTAAAGAGCCGAGTTTAAAGTAGGAGCAGCATATCACCATGACGATGATGGCCACCCAGTGCAAGGGAGAGCAAAGGAGACAAAGAAATGGAACAGAGCGAAGGAAAAGAATACGAACCTTTCCCAGCTCTCGCCAGTTTAGTTTATATCTTATTCCTTTCGCAATATGATAAGGTTACAAAAGTCAGTTTTACGCTAAATTTCCTGTTGTTTTGTGTCTGGTTACAATGAGGCATGCTTGTAATGGTTAATTTCTTTGAAAGAAGAGCTGCCAATAATAATATAGCTTCTCTGTGTTCGAAATGAGAAGTACATGTACTCGTACTATCAAAATACTGACTCTAACAATGACTAAAAAAAAGTTTAAAAACCGTTCGGTTTTCTCTTACGAGAATCTTGGTCACATTATAACCATGACCCAGTTATAAAGCAGAACAAGATACATTGGTGGTTTGGTTAGGCTTTTCACTGTGTCACTTAGAAGAGGAGAGTTTATTTTATCGAGTACCCCCATCAAAATAGAATCTTTACCCCAACTTTCCTGCTAGGGTACTGCCTAATTTTTCTTCTGGATTGACCATGGCTGGTAAGATATAAACAGCCAGTCTCGTAAAGAATCTTAACTGTCCCAGCTCAGTCATGAAACATAAATCAGTGAAACTAGATACTGGACTCCACTGTTAACTCGTACCAGTCGTACTATATTCCCTGCTTTAGCATGTCAAGTTAAGTTTGAAATATGAATACGTTGGCATTTTCATTGAAGTGAGCTTCAAAAAAAAAAGTCGACAGGTTGAGATCGAGGGGCATAAACGTGAACGTAATGAAATCAAGTGAAAATGCAATTAAATCATGTTTAGTAAACAAAACCACACAACCAGGGTACGCAGTTTACTCACCTTTTGCAACATCTTGTTTGAGTACCGCGCGGCTAGATCTAGGTCTCTTGCCCGTTGCCTGGTGAGAAAAGACAAGACAAACATTATTTCTTATTATGCACTTTATTGGAAGCGTGACATATACAGCAAAGATTGTTTTTTTCGTAAATGAACATAGCTACCTGTCATTTTATTTTACTTAAGATGAAAAAGAACAGGGGAGGGGAACGAGTGATGGGAACATGAATGAGGGAAGGAAGGAAGGAAGGAAGGAAGGAAGGAAGGAAGGAAGGAAGGAAGGAAGGAAGGAAGGAAGGAAGGAAGGAAGGAAGGAAGGAAGGAAGGAAGGAAGGAAGGAAGGAAGGAAGGAAGGAAGGAAGGAAGGAAGGAAGGAAGGAAGGAAGGAAGGAAGGAAGGAAGGAAGGAAGGAAGGAAGGAAGGAAGGAAGGAAGGAAGGAAGGAAGGAAGGAAGGAAGGAAGGAACGGAGGAGAAT